AACAGTGGGGAGAATACCTTCCAGTGTTCACACAGAAATGAAATGGAGCTGATTTGTGGCTCTTCTCTTTCAGGCCCCTGTTGTTACAGGAACACGGGCCTCTGTAACTAGTGCAAAGAGTTAGATCCAGAGCTTCCTCAGGAGCATTTCCATTTAGGCTTCAGTTCACCTAAAAATAGATGCTTCCCCCCAGGACTAACACCTTCTGCAGGGAATGGGGCCATTTGGGTGCCTTCAGAGGGGCATCTAGCATGCCCAAGGGGCTCAGCAAGGAAGCACCTAGAGCTGGCCAATAAAGAAATGCGGTGGGTTGGGGTGTGCCTGCCCTCTTGCATCTCTTTGGGGCTTAGGTGCCTGACTCAGGGCTGCACACTGTGTACCTCTGCCGACTCAGAAACCAGAGTGCTAAGGATCTGAGGACTAACATCCACAATGAGATACTTGATTTGGATTACTTTTGGCCATGCTCAGAAGCCTAAATCTAGAGGTCTTCTAAGGCTAAAAAGTGCCTTACAATTTTAGGGTCCTAAGGCAGGCTGCTAGAGAAGGGTCCATCTGGATTGCTTTTAGTGACTTAGGCACCGAAAATTCAATTTACCGCTTTTTAGGCACCTATGGAAAAGTGTGGATCATACCTTCCATAAAGGTTTATTGCTGGTTCAAGTCATCTTATTCCAGCTTCCCAAGCACAAATGGGCTACTTAGTAACTCCGTCGCCTGAATGTTCACAGACTGTTACTAGCTGAGCGGAGCTGTGCAAATAAAAGATCTTGTTTGTTTGCTGGGAATTCTGAAAAATTAGCACTAGGTTGGGGTCAAACAAGGTTTTCTTTGCCCCAAAGTGAATGGCTTCATTTTACATTTGAGCCTTTGCTTTTTAAGATTTCTTTTTTGAAGTTGGAGAAAATTTCAAACCCAAAAGGTCATTTAAAATCAAAGCATTTGATTGAGAAATTGCCAAAACTATGCATTTAGAGATTTGGACGGGGGAGGGAGGGGGTCGACAGGTGATCAACATTGAAACTGATTTGCCAAATGGCTCCTTTGATCTCTCTCCTCCTCTTTTGGCAAAAAAAAAAGTTTTGAAAAATGTTGACTAGTTCCATAACCGAGACGAATGTTATCCCCAGTACATTATGGACTGCGCTGTGCCCAGGAGCACAGCCTAGTTGGTGCCGGATTGGAGGTGCACCTCCAGAAGAGAACATGCCCATCTGTAGGCTTGCTGGCATGAGTAGCTGTCCCCTTTCCTCAGAGGTAGTACATACCTGTGCTCACAGAGAAGGAGTAGTTCCAGTTCTGGCTTTTGTGGAAGGAAGACTCATCATGCCCTTATCCCACCACCATCCCTGGGTTTCAACACTAGTATCATGGACCCCATTCCCCCACGTGCTGGAGGACCAGGGCTTCGATGTACATCTAAATGTCGTTGCACTGTGGATTTTCCTGGTAAATAGTTTCCATATTGGCTGTGGGTACACCTGAACATTTGGGCCCTGGGTTGCCTGCTGTTCCTACTTACATATGCAATTGCCCTGTTTGCCACCATCAGGCACCAAGCTTTAACATCTTGCTGCTTGGAATATAACTGAAAAGATGGGTTTCCTTGAATTCTTGTACCCCACAGTTTTCAATTGAGTTAATAAAGAAAACAACCAAAAAAGATGCATAATGTTATTACATAGAGGGATTTGGCAAGGCTTGTACTGGGGTATTTTAGTTCCTGGGGCAACTGAGGTGAAATGGAGTAGAACAATTACACTTTCAGCTATACTTTAAAAATAGGAAAACTGAAAAATGTGTCATAACCTGGTAAAAAGCAGTACTGGAAATTTTAGCACCCGTTAGTGAAGCAAACATGCCTCCTAGTTATTACTAAGTGGCTGTGGGTAGCTCAGTGCATCAGATTAGTGAAGTAAAAAGCCGTTTTCTCCTCCATTAATTGGCTGGAAAGAGTCTGTTTCCACTGTATCTAAATGGGGACGTGTTCAGCCTGCGTAACAAGTTAGCACTGAACAATAGTAAAATACTTAGGGATGTAAGATGCCAACACACCTCAGGCACTCAGATGCTACAGTGATGAGCCATACAAAAACAGATAGGCCTGGAGCTTCAAAACACAGCAGTATTTTTTTTTCCTTTTAACAAACTAATCTTCTTACTAAGGGAAAGTGAAAACATTTCTGTCAACACAAGTTTTTCAAAGGAAACTTTGGCCTTGTAAACAAAAGTTTCATGGAAAGAATTTGCTTTTCATGCCTGAAAACCAAAAACCCCCCATGAATTTTAAAATATAGAGGTTATGGCCCCCAAAAAATCAGCTTTCAGTTTTGTTGTTTTGGGATTTTTGTTTTGCTTTGTTTTGTTTTGCTGTAAGAAATTGAATTCTTATCGGGGAAGTTAATTGGCATTTCCAAAACAGTTACATACATAATTTGGGACCCTGGGATACTGCACATGTTTCCCCCATATGGAGGCCAAAGCACCAGCACAGTGTTCTCATGGAAGGTTTTCTGAGGATCATAATGGAGCGTGGTGGTGACTATACACACGAGTGGCGCGCTAGTAGGGAAGAAACTGTGCTAATCATGCATTAAGCTTCTGAGAGTTAACTATAACCTCTACTGCCAAGCACTCAAAGAGCTCCTAAAATTGCGGTGCCCTCCTTTCCAAGCAGCCTGACTTCTGAGAGTTGATTAATTAAAGTCAGCATTGTTTATACCCTGGATAGTTGAATTCTTTTTTAAGGTTTTAAAGCATAACATTCTCTGCACTTTCTTGGGTTTGCCACCAGATTTTTATTGCAACGTAAGTGTGCTGTTTTTAATGGGGCTCACCAGGCATGTGCAGAGGAGGCAATGGCTCTGCTTATTCTTGCACACTGTGTTGTGTTAAACACTGGAATTGGAAGTCCTTTTTTAATGATGGTTAAAGACTTTTAGGAGTGCTGATGTTGGCCAAAGGGCACTGAAGACTGCTTTGTTATCTGATCTGTTTTCTATCGGGCAAGCATCTCTTAGCATATTCCAAAAATGATCAAGGTTTTCAATATTCAGTGTGAAAGGAAAAAAAAAATAAAATGCTTTAGTACTTGGTCAAGATCATTTTGAAAGCAGCAGTTTAATGCCAGTGAGATGTTTTAGCTCTTCAGTAAATGCAGTCATTCTGTTGATCGGGACAGAATTCCCCTACTGTATCATGCACAAGGCTAGGCTCACTATATACAGAGCACTACAAAAATGCCTTCAGTACAAGCTGAATTAGAATGGGTGGAAGTGGGATTCCCCAGCTGCTTCCCTGTACTGCTCGCCTTCGCCTCTACTGTTGCCTCTCTTTCCCCTCCCAGCCCCGTGCCGTGATAATGAGGTTAAATGCTGACAAGACAGTGTTTGGCCCAACCCCATCCAGCCATGTTCAGGTAATTAGCTGGCGCCTCGCCCACCTGCGATTCTGTTATTCTGCCTCCTTGCGCTCTCGGGTGAGTTCCAGACTTGGAGGATTCATTTTAAGCAACCCCAAACGGCACAGCAGTCTCAGGTGTTTTGTGGTCTCTTGTACCACAAGGGCGCATCCAGACAACCTCAGTTGTGCAGTATGACATGCCGCAGATGTGTGCACATACTGCACAGTCCAGTGTTCTCCATGCTGCAAGGGCATGCTGTCTGAGCATGCACTGCATTGGGTTTTTTTTCCCATGGGTTTTTTTTTGGACCCCTAGTCAGGGGTGAAAAAAACCTGTGGCGGGGGGGGGCTTAACACAGTGCAATGCACAATCAGGCAGCATGTCCTGCTGAAAAGTGGAGCCAGGCCGCCTAGAGCTGTGCTGCGGCTGCCGGCCAGGGTCTGCAAGCATAATTGCCACGGCTGTGATTACCAGGACCCCAGGTAAGGCTGCTGAGCCCAGCACAGTGCTGTCCCCAGCCTCCGCTACCCCACCCAGGACAACGTGCCACACGCCCAAGTGCGCATGGCCCAGGCGTTCCCCAGAGACAAGTGGCTGTGGTGCAAGGTGCGCCACTGCTAGTTGTCCCTGGGGAACCAAACATCCATGCACATCTGGACGCACCCCAACAGTTCAACATCTTTGGTCTTGAAATTGCTTCTCCTCCTCTTGGTACGTGAAGAGTTTATAGTGGGAGTCTTGCCCTAGTGCCAGAGTGCTCGTGGTGACAGCATATGAAACAGCAGAACATGTACTGGGAGCATGTCTGGGGGCAAGAGAAGTAGAATCATCAGGAGGCTCATTATGGGAGAAATAAGCTGAGGATGTCCTCTTCTGTACTGGGAAATCTTCCAGGTCTTAAAAAGAACATGCATGCAGTCTAGGTTTGAAGGTTGAGGAACTGTTCAGCTGCTGTAGATGTCTCTGCAACAAAAATTGCCTAGACCTTTTTTGTTTAAAATGATCATGCACCAGATTCATAAAGGCGCCTGAAGAGGTACAGCCATATTGTGGGATTTACAAAGCACCGAAACAGCTTTAGTGGGTAATACCTATTAAGGATCTTTTCTAAATCCCACCAAGTTGTGATGTATATTTCTAAATGCCTTTATTAGTCAAGCCCTATGTGATGTTTAATGACAATCCCCCTCTAAAGCTATATGAATGCTTAATTTAGGAAATGATTTCATCAGTAGTGTCTAATGTCTAGCGACGTCTATTAGTAGGACTACTAATAATGGCATATGCTTTTAAAAAAGGAACCATGTTCTCTGCATGGGGTGGAGGAGCCCCACAGACTTTGATCTGTGATCCTTCAGTAGCCACGGGAACTTGATATTGGTTCCTGGCTGTGGAGGCCTGATTCTCATTTATGCTAAGGTCCCTTTATACCACTCTGGCCATATAAAGGTGTCTTAGCATCACTGAAAATTCATGCTACCAAGTTCTGCCATACATATTCAACTGTAGATCATTTCAGAATGGGGAGTGATCTGCTCTATTTTCAGAAAAAATTCAAATTAGGAATAACAGGTCTTTGCTTCTAAATGTTTTACAGTGGAAGATAACAGCCTGTCTCAAAAGAAGAAGATAACCGTGGAAGATCTGTTCAGTGCTGATTTCAAAATTCATGACCCAGAGGCTAAATGGATAAGTGGTGAGTTGGATATACACATGGCTCTAACTCTGCTCTCACATGTGCATGATGCGTCTTTCTCCTTGTCTTGCTTTTGCTCTAGTATCAAAGTCCCTATTCCAGTTTCATGGTAAATATAAAAGGTATGGCTCCATTATTCATGGCATCATCGTGTTGTTTTTATGTGTCCCTGTTGTCTAGGGGCTCTGATGACAGGGTTGTGGCAAGTGCTATACAGGTATGTAGTGAAAATAAGGAGCTTGCAGTCTTGGGCAGGTGATGAGTTTCAGCAGGCAGTCAAAACAAATGATTTGAACACAATTGCAGTTGGGCTTTATTTTACCGCAAACAAATCTTCTCATGTATATCTTCATAACTTAGTCCCTTCCCAAACCGTTTTTGCAGGCAGAGAGGTGAAGTGTTGCTACGCAACCAGCAGCTCAGTGGTCCAGCAACAGCTGGTCTGCTTCTTGTGTACGAGCCATGCGTTCTTCTCATCCTGTCTTGCTCTGTGTTTTCTAGTCGGGGGAAGATGGTATTAATAATGTCAGAATTAATGCATATGATATTTGAAGGAATGGAAATTGTTCTACAGATGCAGATTCTGACTCCCACTAGAAAAACTCCTGCAAGCTAAATAAGCTGCAGCTGAAGAGACATGAGAATATCCAGCCCATGCAAGGGCCCACTCCAACTCCCACTAAAGTGAATGAGAGGCCATCTGTCAAATTTAATCAGGACTTTTCTGCTGCCGGCCTTGCCAGGAGGGAAGGATAAGTGTAGTTATATCTATAATGGGGGCTTTTCTCAAACCTTAAAGGACCTGGAAAACTACTGTCAAGAGTACATACTGAATAAGCACGTCCCCTGGTCACCTTAAGCAAGGCCATTTCTAACTAGCACATCCCCTCTTTGCAGATCATGGCTACCTGGCAAAGGAGGAATTGAAGTCACTGCCACTTGCCAGGGAACTTCTGGTTATTGGGACCCTAATTTTTGCCCAATGTGAATTTCTTTCACTTTTGCTTATAATGTCTTATGTTTAACAGTCACTTCTGCCACTAAATTGTTTCCATTTCTTTCTCCGTTAAAACGTAGAGGTTTTTTCCTACACAGTAATATTCCTTCCTGTGCAAGTACAAGCTAAGCCAAGTTGTGATCATATGCTAGTGCCACGTTTATACTTTAATCAACTTCTAATTTTGGCCAGTGTTATAATTCCCAGTCTGAGGGGTCTAGACTCCATCGGGCCTTGAATCGGGCCTAAATGACCTAAAGTTATTTAAAAGCCGAAGTAAAGAAAGCAACATAAAATCAACAGTAAACTATCATTGGTGAAGCTTCTACAAGTATTTCTCATACTTACACTTTGTAGTACTAATACTCATAGTTATACTGCACCAGCTTTTTATCTCAATTAACCTGGAGTAAGTCTAGAGGAAGTTCATGAAGCTGGTAGCATTTCTTTACATTTATACCTGTATCAGAGATCAGGCTCCTAATATAAAATGCTACCACATCATTCACCCACAGGCTTGAAAACATTTCACAAACATTAAGTAAATCTTTCAATATTATATTCTCTCTATGGCTTCTAACTGACCAAGTCCTGTTTAAGGTGACTGATAAATCAGTAAAAGAGCTTGAAATAAAATTTAAGGGTGCCTATACACATACACTGAGGCTGCTCCAAGGCACTGTAATTACAGCGTGTCGGAGCAGACTCTATTAATTGAGTCTGCTGGAGCGTGGTAATTACTGTGCTCCAGCTGACTCTTAGCATCACGTGTACCAACATCCCCGCTGAACAATAGCGGTGGGGGCACTTTTTATCTAAAGCTCCTTTGACTAAATGGTGCTTTAACTGAAGTGCCCCCCACTGCCATTTTTCAGCATGGGGACACTGATACATGTGACACTCTGGTCACTTTAATTGGAGTGGGTCTTGGACTCACTCTAGTTAAAGCTTCCCTCCCTCCCCCACAAGCAGCACATCTATGAAAGCCGTAATATTGCGGCTTCCCAATCCCATGCTCTGATCATAACTTTAGACATCCTTTGTCCTCTTGTACCACTGTTTTCAGAGGTCAAAAGTCCTGTTGTTTTTCCTAAGAACTTACTGAAGAAGCCTATAATAAGCTAATACCACTTAGTATAAAATGGTGCTGAAGGACATGTGGGAAGAAGGGAAAATAAGTGGGTTGAATCAGGGCTGTTGAACTGGCATCCACAGGCAACATGTGGCCTGCATAGGGTTATGTTACAGCTCCTGGACTCCTGCCCAGCCACCACTCCTCATGGCTCTAGTTGCAATAGAAACTAGAGTGTCTGGGCTCCCGCTCCCTCCTCTAGCTTTTGATGCCTACTCCTGCACCAGGGGCAGGGCTGTGCAGCCCAGTGAGCTGAGGGTGAGTCTGAGGCCATGCCGGTGCACAGTGCAGCAGTGGGGAGGGTGCAGGTGTATGGTGTTGTGCAGGGCACGGGTGCACACTGCAGCAGGGGGGGGTGGAGGAGACATCCAAGTGGTGTGCAGCCCAGGGGCCTCCGACTCACCCTCATGCCACCCATGGGTGTGCAACCCCTGCCAATGTGGCCCGCAGAGTATTCAGTTTCCAGTCGCTTAGGTAGTTGCACAGCTCTAGGTTGAATGGATGGACATTGTCTGGGGATTCCAAAAGAAATAATTGCAAATGTGACAATGTAATATATCCTTGTCCCCATCCCATTCTTTTGCTGTTAACACCATAGCATAAGCGAATCTAATTTAGAGAGATCCAAATCCTAGATTGCAAAAAAATCAATTCTCTCGACTTCTTTCACATGTACAAAATTTCCCTTAAAGGTATTTCACTTTCTGTCTGCATCTCCGTCTTTACTTTTTGTTTATGCAAAAGATGGAGTTTGATAGCCTAGGAGTTTGCTTAAGCGTGGTGTATGGTTAGAAGTATTCAAATGACCTAAGTGATCATTAAATGGGAAGAGTTTATTAAACCAGAGGAATACAGTTCCTCCTTTTAGAACAGTTAACAGAGATGAGAATCAGCCTTAAAGTTTGAGATAATTGCATTTCATGTGGTGAGATCACAGGTTTCTCCCAGGCTTTGCAGAGCTCTCTTAAGGTAGTCTGATGGTTAGGAGTAGTTTGTGTATTTTTTTTTATTTTCATAGCATTTAGGTGGCTTTCCTAATAACAAGAGATGAGCCCAAACTGGTTCCTGAATTCTGAAATTATTAGAATCTTGGAAGTGTTGGATTCAAACTTGTACTTATGATTTTTGGTTGTAAATGAGAGAAAAGTTTTCTGAGGTTAAATATAAGTCCAAAGTGATGGAAATCTCATTGAGGATTCTGAGGGTATTACAATTTCCTTCATGTTGCACCAAGTTTCACCTAAAAATGCTTGCAAATCTTCAGTACTGTCAGTTCATTCAGCTTATTGATCTGTAATGAAATACTGACCTTGAGTTGTTGCTTAAAACTAATTTGTGATTTAGATGGGGTATGAACACTGTTTCCATCAGCCCATTTTTATAATTTCCCATGTCACAGGATGGGGTCCCCAGGGATAGCCATGATACTCCTAGGGCTCCTGGACTGTGCCAGTCCTGCTCAACAGGCACCTTCTTTCTTTCCTGCCACGTCTCGATGGTAATTATAAAAAATAGGGAAACTGCCCTCGAGTGTGTATTTGGACATGGTCCTGATGGACCCCACTGAATCCTGTGGGTTCTTGGACCCCTTTTGAGTCCCGGTCCAAAATGGATGCCTCACGGGACACCCTCAGCCTTATGGACTAGATGCATGGCTCCAAAGCCACCCCTTTACCATGCCCGAAGCCTCACAGATGCTATTCACACATTGTCCCTCCAAGGCCTTAGTTTATTTTGGCCTCCAGTCATCGCTGGGCTCTCCGCAGCCCTGTCTCTGCACCCACACTGGCACTGGGGTCTGCTCACCCCCTTTCTCACCGCACCCCTGGTGCTGGGGTCCCCACACTGTAGTGGGCCCCCAATGTGGCCGCCTCCTTCCCCAATAGCCTCAGCCTGATCCACCAGTCTATAAACAACAACCAAGATATGAGCCCTTGGGCTATAACATAATATAAGCAGTTCAGGGTGCACTCTGTCCCTTTAAAATAATCAAACTTCCCCGCCCAGGACTAAGTGCCTTATAGGCCAGGGTCCCTGGTGAGCTCCTGGAGCCCCCTTAATCCTACCAGAAGCAGAACAGGCAGTCAAGCATCTCTAGTTAGCTTCCTCTATGAGAGCTCCTTCCCCCTCGGCTGCTGACAGAGAACTAACCCTTTAGTCCCAGCGCTGGGGTGTATATGTGCCCAGGCCCTTGCCTCTTCTGGTCAGCTGACCGCCTGCAGGTGCAGGCTAATCCCCTCATTAGCCTGCTGCCACGGTAACCTGCACCTGCGGAGTTCCTGCCTGACTTCTAGGGCCCTCTCTCTAGGCAGTTTCTGCCCTTAAAGGAGCAGGCATCTTAGTGCCCTGCGACATCCCATGATTTTCACACTGCTCTCTATAGGTTATAAAGGATCTAAACAACCTATGAGGCAGGTGATTATTTGTCTCCTGAGGGCAGGGTCCCAGTTCTGGTTCTCAACAAGAGTAGGCATGACTTATCTATACTGGGAGGTATGTATGGGGGAGAAATGCTGGGTCAGGTTCCCAGCTGGCGGGCATCATAAGAGTGCCGTTGACTTCCCTGGAGCTCTGACGATTTATACTGATTAGGGATCTGTTCTCCTTTTTTCTGTACACTCCACCTTCCACTCTCAGCAGTTCCTCTCACTTTCCACTGAGAAGTGCTGTGAGCCACATCAGCATGGCTATTAAACAATGATTCACACATCCTGTAAATCATGGAGACTTGCTTTTGTTTTTTCTTCACTTTCTCTTAATGACAAGAATGTGCCCATCCATACCAGCTCACTTTATTTGTTAATAGAAAGCATAGCAGTGGCCCATAGTCGGACTGTCTTCCTTGGTTCCTGTAGTTGATTGGTTGTAGCG